TATATATACAAAGATTTAAAAACCAACGAAGTTAATTACACATTTTTGTGCAGCTGCTAAAGCAAATTTGAATTGAGCAACGACAAACTCTTTATGTGTGTTCGTGTTGAACGTAAAGTTTTCAATTTCAATTAAATGTTTAAATATAAATTACAACTCGCGCACGCATTCCCAGAAATACACACACACACACACAGACATACACCACACAACAGTCACTCTGAAATTGGGAAATATTTTTGAAAATGTGCACATTTATTGATAAAAATGGAGTTATTTTTTTAAGTGTAAGCAATATACGAATTGAAAGAACTAAAGAACTATTCTTGTCAAAATGGCCAATAAAGATTTGATTTTTAACATAATGCAAGAGTGTTTTCGTTTAATGTATTTTCGGTTCTTGAATGAATTTAGTTGGATGTCTAAGAGACTTGAATCGAACTTTGATAAAACATAATGAATTATAACTGTATAAATGAACGAAACTGGTAGGTGACATTCAAGATAACAGATATATATTGATAATGTATATGAGAAGACCTTAAAATTGTCGAAGTGTTTAGTTGTACTGAGTTGTAATTTGAAAACATCTCTTCTTTCGCTAAAAATGCCCAAAAAAGTGCTAAAACAAACAAATTAAAATTTAGATAGTCTTTTTTATTGTCGGTAGTCAATTGGTGTGCATCGATGAATCAGTATTGGTAGATATGTACATAATATTATGTTTATGTCTATATAAAATATTTATTTATAATCGGTTATCAATTTTTGTTGGAGCAGCACTTGTCCTTGGGTCCGTTCTTGCAGGCGCATTTGCATTGCTGGCTGCAGGGGCAGCTGTCGCCGCACTTGCTGGCCGAGCACTGGCAGTCTGTGGGGGACGATACCGTTATGTTTATTGTAATACTTATCCGACATAGTTAATTTATATGTATGTATGTATGTACTCACTGGTCTCACAAGCTTTGCAACCCATTTTCTGTTTGTTTATATCTCTCTGTTTACAAGTGTGTTCGACACGATGTTCTCTCTGGCTTTGTTGACTCGGCTCGCTGTCGCTGGCATTTTATAGATTTCGAGGGAATACGGTATTTTGCACTCCATTTGTGGTGGGATAAAATGTGTTATCAATCATCAATTAGCAAGTACTAAGCGCACACATAGCCGGTTTATCAGGGCGTGCGCAAAATTGCGTAGCCGACTTGATATCAGCGTATTTAGTTTTGCGCACGATTCACGCATACAGCTGCGCACGGCTTTTTTATTCTCTTGTTGTTTGTTGTGGCTTATCAGCTTAGCATGGCGGTATAAAAGGCGGCGCTCGGAGCGCATTGAACAACAGTAAATCAACAGCAATCGTTGTGTTAGCCATTCCATTGTGAAAAAGTGCAAAATAAAAACTAAAGTGAAAATGCCTTGCAAAGGATGCGGAAACAGTGAGTAAAGTGTATTTCCTCATCGAGTGATGGTCTCCATTAATGAGCTCGATCCTGCTTCTAGACTGCCAGTGCACTTCCGGCAAATGCGGCAGCAGCTGCGCCGGAAACCAGCAATGCCAATGCGCCGGCAAGACGGCCCCCACCTGCTGCCAGACCAAATGAGTTGAGGTGCCGAGCAGCGCTTCATAGAAATTTCTAGTTCCATACTGAAATCTCCGACTGATTGTTTGTTATAAAAGGATGCTTAATAAATTATATATTTTATAGTTAACTGAAACTCAGCGTTGTTTGGCTTACGAAGAACACTTTATTTTTTATTTAAGCGAAGATACACTTATGATTCACATATAAAGAAGGCATAGAAGTTTTGGTCACTCAAGGGTGCCATTAAAATTTTGATTCCACTAAAAACGAATTATTTGTGCAAGCTGTGGGCAAAAAACTTGTTTAATTTTCAGCCAAGCAATGCACTCAGCAATTATGCAGGCACAATGTGTGTCTACTCAACGAGCTAAAGTATCATCGTTCAGCTGAAGGACGCTCAAGTCGACGCAGTGTGCAGCGGCTGGCAGCGAGTGGGCCTTGGGTGACCAGGCAGCGGGTCAACGGGGCAGGTGGCCGGGTGAGTCCTTGTACAATTGCCAACAACTACTACTGTTCATGGCATACAAGTGTGCAAGCACCTCTTGGGGACGCTGATTGCATGACAGGTTGACTGACATTTAGGGGGGCGGGGCGGGGCGGGGCGTGTTTCGCTTGCGTTGGCGTTTCGGTTTTGAGGCGAGACTGTAAACACGAATGTATCCAAAAAGTGCATTAAGCGCACTAATTGCAATTGACAATTGCATTACGCCGGCCCAAAATGGTGAGTCAAGACCTTGTCCTCAAACCCAGCAGCAACATTTTCAATTTCAGCGTTTTTAATAGTGTTAAAGCGTCGGAAATGAAATCGCGCTCTGCAACTTGCTGTTTGCGCAAAGTCATCAAACTTAATTTGTATGGAGGGAAATTCGAGCTCAAATGTTTTTACAGCCATTTCCGGAACGGCTGCTAGTCGAAATGTCTGTGGCACTCGATTTGCTTGCCATTCGCATGACATACGGATATGTGGAAAAAAAAAAAAAATCAAAAAAAACAGAAACAAATAAATGAGAATGGAAATCCTCTCAGCATTTTGGCAATAACTAAAACTGTATTCGTAGCAGTTGCATTTCTATCTATCTATTTCTAATACCTTAATAAACACGAGTGATGGAAGACCAAAGGTAAAGTACTTAAGCTTTTGCTTCATTTCTGTTAAATAAATGTGGAACTTGAATTCAAGTAAGTAGAAATTATTAATAATCTATAAATTTAACAGCTTGGAAAAAATAAATAACAAATTTTCTCTTTATGAGGGTATACTTTAGTCAAATAATTCTTTTTTTTAGAGCTTTTTTTATCTCTTCTTATTTTTAACTTTTTTTTTATTGGTATTGGATAGTCAGCGGAAATTTGTGGTTACGGCATTTCAGATTTGAGTTGATAATGTTGGGGAAATAAACGCGAGAGATTCGTTAAGGGTTATTTTTGGCTTGGTTTGCCTTCTGGCCCGCATACAAATGGCAGCACTTGAGAATACGAGGTCCAAGTCGACGCGAGATGCAGCCGCAAGCGGGTCAGGGCGATGGCGATGTTGATTGCGAGTGCGATTCGTTGTTGGGGAAGTTGCGGCTTAAGCCACACGCTGCGTATACGCGATATTGCGAGCCATTTAATTCGCTGTCGCGGCCTTTAAACACAAACGCAAACAGTTAATTACGGCATTAAGTTTTCATGCTGCAGTCAAAAAAGGCGCCACTGGCCGGGACAGCAAAGAAGCGAAACAACTGCAATGCGGGCACTTCGTGAGCGCTTTGTCGCCAGCAGCAGAACGAGAGTCGGCAGCACGAGCTGGAGCCAGAACAGGAGTCGGAGAGACGAAAAGTCACTGCGAGTGCGAGTTGTGAGTCCATGAAAAGAATGTGACGTCGCATCACTTATGCATAAGAACATTTTAACTTTTCGTTAGCCACTTTAGACTTGGGCACGTTCCAGGGCCATGCAGCTGGGTAAGAGTGGCTTTGGGGTGGCTTCGATGCTTCGATGGCTGGGCTGAGGACTACGTAGGACTCGCTGCTGAACATGTTTATCTTTTGCGTGTGACTTTTGCCTTTTGGCTGGCTCGAGTTTTTCCATTGTTGCGGCCAAGTGTTGAAATCAAACAGCGCTGAGAAGCAAACACACACACACACACACACACACACGCATACATACACACCTTCACACTTGTAGTTGGCAAACAAACGTAAATTAATGAAATGCACAAAAATTCTGCCAAGTCTCCTGCTCTCAGTCTCTGTCTCTCTCTCTCTCTCTCTCTCTCTCTCTCTCTCTCTCTCTCTCTCTCTCTTGCCGTGAGTCTGCAATGTCGGAATATTCTTAATAATTTATTGCATTTTGTTTGCTAAGCGCTTCAAAACTTGCTGAACTTTTCAACATAAATTAACAGATTAGTTGTTGCCTGCCAACAACAACAACAGCAGCCACAACAACGAAATATATTTTCAACTTTTCACAGGTGGCCTTGGCAAAAAATACGCATAGTTCCTTTGGTGTCTGCCACAACAGCTGCTAATTTCCACAGTTGCTACGCTGAGCTGGAAAATAAAGGAAAATTGCGCTTAAATGTTGCCGAACAACTTTTGCCAAACAGCACGCACTGCAAACGCTGTGGGATCCACTCGCCTTTGGCCACTATAAATCTTTGCTATTTTGCCAAATTTGTAAATCTCTTTGGTATCCCGAGTGCAGAGTGAGTCGACGACGTGACTGCTGAAGTTGCAAACATTTTACATTAAAAATGTATATTTTCATTTGTAATTCATGTTACTTGCCCTACCTAATGCACAGAAGTCTTAAAGTTCAGCTGACTTTGGCTTGAAGTGCAAACTATTTGCGAACTATTGTGATTTACTGCCGTTCGATTTCAGCGTTCCCAAATGAGTAATCAGAGCAACATTTTCGCTCGTCATTTAACATTTAACAAAAACTCATTTCGTTTTCGATTTGTCGCTGATTTCCCAAAACACTGTCCGCCACACACACACACATAGAGAGAGAGACGAAGCATGTGCCTGATGACTGCGTGAATGTCTTTGGCTTTGGCAAACACATTAAGCGTCACATCCTGGGCGCGTCTCAACTATCGGCCCGGATGTCCTGCCTAGCCCAGTATTGACTGGCCGCTGACCAACTTTGTTGACAGCAATTTGGAATGCACGACTGCACCGCTGACGTTGCCGAAGGCAAGCCCAGGCCATCAACACCTAATGACAATAGCTGCATTGTCCAGCAGTTTGTATGAAAAGTACTACGTGTGATAACAGACCTTAGTTGGCTGGCATTAAAGTACTAAGTGGGATTATCTATACTTGTTACTCATGAGCCTTAAATCATTCACCTCAGATGCTCATTCGGTTTCTGCTTACAATTTACATGAATTTAAATGAATTGTATACATTAATAGAAATGCAGTCTATACATATGTATGTATTTATATATGATTGGGTATGTATAATAATTTTTGTTATGAGTGCTTAGTAAAAATATTAAACAAAAATAAAATTCACTTCAAAATTGAATTGAAAGTTCCAGCATCAAAGTCTAGGTGTTAACTTTTAATTAATAATAATTAATTAAACACATAATCAAGAGTTTAAATCGTATATAGAGTACAGTAAAATGTAATGATTGTTTCCAAAAGCTTTCTTGTGTTTCGTTCAGCTATTTTTACAGCTCATTTGGGCTTTCGGGTTGCACAGAGCGCTATCTTTATCCGAGTTCCATTGTCTTCTAACCAGGTAGTCATTAGCTTAACGTTAAATTTTAATGCTGTAACATGTTCAGACCGAATCAACCTGCCCCACTGCATGCTTTTCTCTCTCCCACTCTCTCTCTCGCTCTCTCTCGCTCTCTCTCTCTCTCTCTCTCTCTCTCTCTCTCTCTCTCTCTCTCTCTGTGTGAGTTCATTTTGTTGTATTGTTAATTAGCCGAGCCACGCAAACAGCTGAGGCTAACTGCTGTCGGTTGTCCCGTGCACACGCTCAGCTGTCAGACACCAGATTCTAGAGGCAGGCATTGCCATTACGCTGACATTGCGCAACGTCTTGTGACGCTTTGGCTATGCAGCTGCGTGAGCTCCACTGGAGCAATGTCCTCCCTGCTCGGCTCATTAGCTAACTGCACACGTGCACAAATCAATTTTGCCACGTCCAATGTGAGTTGCACGCTCGCACTTGAGTGACTTAGTGACGCGCTGCAGACCCTAATCCCAGCAAGAGTGCTCCAGAAACAATCATACGACGCGTTGTCCAAAAGCAATCAAAGCGAATGGCTCTACTGCAAAAATCACACACGCTGCATCCTTGCCCCAAAGCAGCATCAGCTGCAAAGGAAGCGTGGCGCTTTGCGGCGGCAGGACGGGGATGTTTTAATAAGCAATGGCTCAATGGAGATGATGTCATAAGTATGCAAGTGCCACATCGCATGTTGTTGCAATTGCTCCAACGCGCTTCCGACTGCAATCCGTGTGTGCACTGGCACTGGCAAAGCCAAAGAGTAACACAGCTCCCGCTGCCTGCTCTTGATGCTTGCACTTGGCAAGCAGCTTCGCACTGATAAGTGCATCAACATGATGCTCAAATTATATGGTTTCACTTGCCAGCACAGCAAACGAGCCCCATCAGCATTACACAAATACATAAGCGCACATAAGCACAGGAACGGAACGGGCCCGATGGGGCAAGTTCTTATCTCCTTATTAAAGAGCGAAGTCTGTGCATAAAGGAATCTCAAATATAGAGAAAATCTGAGAAAGAGGTTGCTTTACTCTTATAAACATTTCTTTATTCCTTTCTTCATTTTGCTTTGTCAGTGATAATGAAATGTTATCAGCTCTAGCCTATCGCGCAGATCAGCATAGGCCACAGCGGTCAGTCCCACTTTGTGGTCGATGGGCACCGATTCGTAGTGGCCGGGCTTCTTCTGATAGGCCACGAAATTCGTGTAGCTGTGGCGCTCAAACCTGTAGCCCTTGCCCATGCCGGCGAAGAGCTGCTGTTGATAGCTACTCACGGGCGCTGGCTCCGTCTTGAATCCAGGCTTGGGTAGGGGCTGCTTATTGTGTGTGTAATGTAAGAGGGCCAAGCACAGGGGCGGCAGCAAGGCTGATTTTCTCTTCCGATCGCGATCAGCGATGATGTAGCTGCTCTGATTCGGGCTTGGATGTGACTCATAAAAATAAGAGCGCATTACGACGCCGTAAGGTAGTCGCATTTGGAACCGTTCTCGGAAGTTGGCTCTATTGATGGATCCAGACAGCTGGCTGTCGATTTTGAAGTGCCCAAGGTGCCAGGGGCTGGCCTGCTGGCAAATGTATTTCCTGTCGTTCAGCCTATGCGGATTGGCAGACAATGCTCGTTTCATGGATTCTTCAGTGATGTAAATTATCATCGCATACTTGTAGTTCTCGGAGCGTTGATGCACGTAGACACGCTTCAGATTGCCAAAGGCGCTGAAGAGCTCAAAGACCTGGTGGTGCACAATCTCCATACTCAGATTACGTATGTATAAAATATTTTTGTCATCCAAGTCGAAGGACGATATAAGCTGACTTGGTGGGCCATATGTTCGCCTATGAAGATGTCCTGTAAAAAAATTGTTGTACAATATTCTCTTGTAAATTTCTTAATATATATATATCATACCGGGCTTGTTCCTCGAGTGCTGAAACGAATCAGTAGCCTTGCTCTTTGCCTTTGCATTATAATCGTAGCGAAAGGTTTTTGGATCGGTCGGTGTTGGAAAGCCTTGTGAAGGTCTACGATATGGATACGTTGAGGGTGGAGCTTGCGATGATTCTGGTGCTGTGGACTGAGGAAGCCCTGGCTGTGGAGGCTCTACAAGATAGTTGTTTTTGTAAGTTCTTCTAAATTGTTTTGGTAGAAATAACAGTACTCACTGGGAGAATACCCCGACAGTTGAGAGCTTGAACAAGTCATGGAATACCGTCTCTGCATTCGGTTGGCATCGTTTTGATGGCGCTGATCATTATACTGTGTTGGGGTCAAGTACTGAGGCTGTGCTCTATGCTCAATTGCTTGTGTTTTAGGCTCAAGCGCTTTAGGCTCCAAGGACAACCGTCGAGTACCTGCAATTTGCTAGTGATAATCAATTTTAGAAACATTTAGAGCATGCACTCACCAATATTGCTTGGAGTGCTTGGAGCTGTGTTTGGTGCCTTCCATGAGAACTGTGACGGTTTGGTATATAAATTATTTAATGATAAACGCCTTGTGCCTTGAACCTTTGTTTGTTTAATGTCTACTAGAAAGTCTTGGTTTAGTACTAAATTGCACAAATTTTTAATTTGTAAACTTACCTTCTTTAGTGCTTGGATTTGGATCAGTTGGAAGAGCCTTGGGCTCAATTTTTTCGTTTTGAATAACATCACTTGGACTTTGAGTTGGAATCTTTGGCAACTGCGAAAATCTGCGATATGAAAGTCTTGCTGGTGGAGCCATTATTGGCAGATCTGTCGATGTCTTCACTACGGCTGGAGTAGGAGTAGGAGCAGGAGCAGGAGTAGGAGTAGGAGTAGAAGCAGTAGTAGGAGCTGTAGCAGGAGCAGGAGTAGCAGCAGACGTAGAAGCAATAGCAGGAGCTGTAGTAGGAGCAGTAGCAGCAGCAGGAGTAGTAGCAGCAGCAGTGATAGGAGCAGTAGCAGGAGCAGGAGTAGGTGCAGTAGTGGCTGCAGGAGTAGCAGCAGGAGCAGGAGTAGGTGCAGTAGCAGCAGCAGGAGTAGCAGCAGGAGTAGGAGCCGTAGCAGGAGCCGGAGCCGGAATATCTTTAGATTCCCCTAATAGCTTTTGCTTATTTTCATTCAGAAGTTTCTCGGTTGCTAACATCTTCGTTAGTTGCAGCGATCTGCGATATGTACTTCGAGGAGGTGGAGGCTTTGGTATTTCTATTTTCGGGTACCTTGGCGCTTGGCTACCTGAAGGTAATGAATTGATAAGAATTGATCATCGGATAATATTAGATTGGAGTACTTACTCTCTACTTTCTGCTTCTCCTTTTGCTCCTCATTGTTATAAGTCTTTTTCGGCGTAGAAGACTCATTTTGGACTGGTGTGATTCGAGTGCTCCCGTTTTCCTTTGGGTTTGCGAGATGTGAAGTTCTGGGACGCCCACGACGTTTTGGTTGTGGCAATTCCGTTGATTTAGTTGCAGATGATTGTGGAGCTGTCAAGACTTAAAGGGGCTTAAACATATTTGATTGTGGATATAGATAGCTCTACTTACCTTCCTGTTTCTTTGCTTGCTTCACAGCAGGTACATCTATGGTTCCACGCCTTTTTTTTGCAGGGACTATTGTCTCAGGCAATTCAGCCAGATATTGCGTTTTTCTGCGATTCGGCTGAATTGGTTCTGCAACTAATTTATTTTTTTATTACAGCCTAACCCTTTAATGGATGTCCAGCACTTACCGGTTTTTGCCACTGCCATCGGAGCGGCAGTAGTAATTAATTTGGCTTTTTTCTTTTCGACGATATCCTCACAAATGGTGTTCGCTCGAGCTCTCTTAAGTTTTGGTTTTTTGTCCATTTCGGTTATGTTTTTCCGATGGGCAGAAATTGACAATTTTTTCTTGAGACAGCAAAGTCAAGAGCTACTAGGCTGATTTGTCAAATTTGAACAATGTCGTATTAACTGACGTTTGTCATCGTTTACAAAGACTGAAATGTGATTTCATCGGCTTTCGTGAGTATTTATTCGTGACTCTCTGTGTGACTTCGCTCCTGTGCGTACCACCACATGCAAACGCATTGCACATTGTTGCACAGACTATTAAACCTGCTGACGACGAAGATGAAAATGCGTTTTTAATGCAGCGCAAATGTGGCAACTGTTTCTGCATGCCATCATATGTGGGCACACATTTACATACATAGATTCTTGCTTGCACTTAACCAACATTTTATGCAAATTACGTGCCAAAAACTTGAGCAGCTTCCGTTTTCAAAATTCAGCCTTATTACTTAAGTGTCTAATTTTTGTTTTTTCGTTTTTCATTTTTAGAAACTTTAGACTTTCCATAGGCCAAAATGTGAGTCTTATTGAAAATGTCGGCATCGCTCGATGGCCCTAAATTTGTACGTTTGAACGCTAAACAACTCTCAATGGCACCAAATTGAATTAGTTGTAGGTCCACTTATGTGGCTGGCGAGCATAACGTGACTTGAGTGCAAAATGTAGCCAAATAATGCGAAAAGTCAACGCTGGCCAGCTGTTGATTAAGTGGCCGAACAGCTTGTGAGATAATCGAATTGCAGTATTCAATATAGGCAAGAAGAAGGCATAAATAATCATTTAATAACAAGCAGAACGACCATTGGCATACATAAATAAAAATGGATTGATTCAGATTTTGCTTGAAAACTAAATAAAATATATTTAACAAGCTATAGCTTTAGCTGAAATTACCATAAATAATAAAAGGAAACATATGCAATTTTAGAGCAGCACAAGATGGCTTAAAGGTTGCGGCTTTAGTTGTAATTAGAAACCGAACTCAACTATGAACTCTATTCACCTTCTCTCGTTCGCCAGGTTGTCTTTATTGACTAGGTTAGTTGTAAAGAATAGTTGATTCGGAGTCGACGAATGGGATTCACGTATCACAAACATGTCAGCTAACGGAGCCAACTAGTCACACATGCAGATCCATGTGTGCATGTACTTCTCTATATATCTCAAATTTGTTCTGTCTGCCCATTTGCATGCCGTGCAGCTCGTGTGGGATGATATCATGTCATCGTTAAAGAAATCGAATACTTTTTGTGTACCGCAAATAGACAATGGCAGCGAACTCTGTCTGCCTGGGTTTAATCAGGCACTTGGGCTGCTGCCTCCACAGGACACGTACACGGATGCAGCGCAGTGAAACAAAACGAAAATCTTGCAATTTGTCGTCTAAACAATAAACCAAATCCTCGTAGCAGGCAGGAAAAACCAAATCAGCAAAAAGCGAGCAACGGCAACGTGCAGAAATCAAAAAGGCATTGCTCTATCTCTGTCTCTCTCTCTCTCTCTCTCTCTCTCTCCTTCTCTCACTGCCTTTTTCTCTGTGGTGTAGCCAAATAGACAAACGCGACCCTCATGCCAGATGGCTAAGCACAATTTAGAGGGCCAAATATAGCTTGGACCCTAAAGTTCTTTTATTTTGCAATCTCTGGTTGAATCTCAGGAATGATTCTGTATTCATAATGGATGGAATTTCCTCACTCTTTAATATTTTCTAGAAAAATGTTAGCTACAACTATGAGTTACTCTCTAATATGGTTCTGTCAGGATACTTGATTCGGTATGTAAAGTGGCTTATTTTATTGTATAAAGCAAGAGGTGTATAGCTTCTAAGCCAACATATTCTTATATTAGAATTATTTTATATATTACTTAGTCTATAAACTTTATGTGCTTAACATAAAAAATGTAAAAAGGCATTCCATAGTAGCAGCAGCAGGCAAGCACTATAAGGCACATTATTTATTTTTATTTGTCTTATTTTTTTTTATTTATCTTTTTTTTTTTTTTTTTTTATATATATAGTGCACTCTACATATCCCCGATGATATATAAAGTGCAATATTTCGGTGACGGGCGAACCGTGAATGTAAACTTTTTTGGCGACTTCTCGGGGGCATCGTAAGGCCAACGCAGTGCTGTTCGTTTGATAAGCCACGACTTGTGCTATTTTTATAGCGATGCCGCTGTGCGGGCATTAAAACATGCAATTTCCATGCATTCATGCAGATGGCTTTCAGTCATTCATATGTATGCATTTCTCTCAAATATTCATTTGCTGAAAGGAAACGTTTGTTTCAAGTCCAAATTCAGTTTTCTGTGCACTTTTTCTCTTGATATTTCTGTATAAAAATGATCAAGACTAACGAAACTATGTCAACATGCAATCAGAGGCTGTCAGGCGGCAATCAGGTGTCGCCTCTGGTTGAGTCTCTTTGGCAGCTGCGATAACTTAATTAAAAGCGAACAGTTTTAAGCCAATCAAAGGCCACGTATATATGTGGACTGGATCTTATTAGCTGGCAGGCAACTTCAATTCGAATTTACACTCTACTCGATTGCTGGCGAGTCAGGCCAACAACCCGCACACACATACACACACACACACACCGGCCCAGTGCCGGCGTCAGGGTAAATGTGGACTACGTGTCGGTTTCAATGAAATGAAAATATAAAATATGCATTTACTGCAGTCCGCCTCCAGTTACAGATAGTTGCCACCGGCTGCTGTTGCTACTGTTGCTGCTGTTGCCCGGATAAGTATGCTACGGGCAACGTGCTCTGCGCCGGGGAATTGTGTCGAATGTCATGTGCTGCGCCCCGCATTCAAATGCCAGCTGCACAGAGTCTACCCAAAACTGCGATCCTTACCAGCGCCAGACAGCCAACGGAAACGGAAGCAGCATTGTTCGCCTGCCGAGCAGCACACTCCATAATAAATGTAACGAGCGTATTACAAACACTTACGTATGGCAAGTTTAAAGTGCAGCCATCACTCGCATAAGCCCCAGCATAACTACTTCAACATACATATCTCTATGTATATATGCATATGTGTATATACCCTACAGCATTAGATTAGATATAGCTATTCGAAATTATCAAACACCAGCTGTTCAAATATGTATAGCTAGTTGTATCCAGCATTGATTTGTCCTTCTGCTATTTGCGTTACCAAATATCTGATTAAATATGGACACTGCCGTCTGGCTTAGTCTATTATTGTATTTTATACTTGGCTCAGCTTTATTTAGAATTTTAAGCTATTGAATGCCTTATGAATATTCTGGGACAAGGACACAATGAGACATAGCTCAAATGGAAAGGAAATTATAATATTAAATAGAAAATAGTTAATCATCTGATTTTCATATTGAGAAATTCAATTTAAACTCGTAACAAATAATTTGAAACTAAGGCAAATTCAGAGGGCAACTGCTCGTCGAGCAGACTTTGCAAAGAGCTTTATGAGTCGCCTTAGTTGCTTTATATCCAACTGGAGTACTTTTGCCAACTGCCACATGCTCGTACATAATTGCTGAATCAGTCGCAAAATGAAATGGACATCAAGACAGCGACTAAATCAAATGTGAGCCAAGTGAAAACTTGGCCCAACTTTGGTGCAAGTATTGTGTGCGAGTGAGAGGGGCGCAAGTGCGAGCTGGACAGAAAGGGGGGTGGGTTGGCGGGTTGGCGGGCTGGCGGGCTGGCGGGTGGTGCTTGGTCGCATGCACTTGAAGTGCTAAAAACTTTGCTGCGCTACGTTAGCAAAAACTTTTGCCAGCTAGTTGTAGCATGAAAAGCAAAAGTTTGCCGTCAAAGCGAAAGTTAAAGCCAGCGCCTGCAACAACAAAGCAAATCCGAATAAAAAACTGACAAATATATATGTATATATGTATATACATATATATATTTACTATAAAAGTGCAAAAATAAATGAAGTTTATTTGTCAGGC